TGCTATCATTTGTCAACCACACTAAAAATCTACTTGTTTTTAATAATATAGCATATCAACAATGTTGTTCAGGCGATGCTCTTCTACATTGACCCCCAAGACTTCTCATTTGTACTGTTAAAATAAACGAAAATTTGAAAAAATTGGCTTACTAAATTTTCTTTATAATAGGTGTTATATTTGAAGAATTTAGAGTATGTATATTTTAATATTTTCTTTAAACCAAAATATACAAATAATTAGAAAATTGAAAGTAATGCATGGATCTGAATCTTTACTAGATTCGAATTGTAGTGGTACTGTTTTGACCACAGTTAAGTGATGTGATGTTATGATTTTATAAACAGCCTTTTTATTGCACATGTACTATTTTCTGGTCTTTTCAACTATGTGCCTTACTAGTTGTCTTGCACAAAAATAAATAAATATCTAACTATTTTATTTCGTAATATAGTTATTCTGTCAGTATTCAAATTAGAGAAATTTTTAAAAATACCAATTTTAAAATACCACTTTACAAAAATACTACATTTTTGAAATCTTTATAAAAATGCCATTTTTTCAAAATTATTTTTTTTATATCATTTATGTTTGGGTTAATTATGTTCTATTAGGATTTAGTTATGAAGATTTAGAGAGTTTTAGGGGTCAAAATATTTTTAAGGTTTAGAATTTTAAGATACATGCTTTATAATCTATAATTAGTGGTATATTTGCAAATGGACACCCCTAAATGGCATTCTTGCAAATGTGCACACAAAAAATGGCATTTTTATAATTGACCTTCAAATTACATCTATTTTGAAACACACAAAAATGATTGTATCACTTAGGCATTTTCCATTTCATATCTTAATTACAAATTTACAATGCTTATAAGTTAATTTGTCTTTTTCATATTGAAATTTCTAAGTTTGGTTGTGCCAAAAATAAAAACATATATAAGAAGACTTGCATTCACACGCTTCTGTTATTGTTCTATTTTATACATATATATTCATATTTTTTTCAATGATAAAGACTTATTATATTTGACAAAATTGACAATTCTTATGATATATCTAGATCGATGAGCATAATCCATGAATTGATTGGTTGCGTGTATGATAATACTTCAAATGCAAATACAAAATTATTTTTCACTTAATTAGAAATTTTCTTCACCTATAACGAATTCAGTCAATTAAGGTCTAAAATATTTGCACTTTATATAAAGTAGAAACGCAAAATATTTGAATTTTAAGCTGCTAGGTTTTAGTACTACCTTTTTTTTTTGGTCAACCCTTTAAGCCATTGGACCACAATAGTTATAAGAATTGAACTATTGTATTGATTGACAATTAATACAAGGATTCCACAAAATGGAGGTAACTATGTGCCTTTTTTTGGGTTGATGTTAATGGGTATTCAATGGGTCAATTTCTTCAATAACCAATAAAAAATTAATAATCAACTAAGTAACCAAAATTATTATATGTGGCCAATTAATAATCATTAGAATTAGGATATTTGGTTAGAGTTTTAGATACAAATTTTTGTATGGTTATTGATGGCAATTACCATTTAATTAGAGCAAGAGAAGGAAAAAATTAAAGCATGCAGGTTTTATTTGAGGAGTATTCAACTTATATACACAACACCAACAAAAGATACCTAATTTTTAAGTCAAACCAAAATTGAAGTGGACTAAATTGTTTTATATAAATTTTTTTTTTTTTAGAAAACATAAGTAAACTTGGAATTAAAATTTCTGAAAAATTAAGGATTTTTAGTTTCATTGATTTTAGTAAAAAAATGTTATCTGCAAAACACCAAAACAGAAATTATATAGGGGCAATTACAAAAATGCCATTTTTTGTGTGCACATTTGCAAGAATGCTACTTAGGAGTATCCATTTACAAAAATGACACTAATTATAGATTTATAAAACCTATATCTTAAAATTTTAAATCCTAAAAAATGTTTTGACACCTAAAACCTTCTAAACACTCAAAACTAAACCCTAATAGAAAATAATTAACCCAAACATAAATAATATAAAGAAAAAATAATTTTGAAAAAGTGATACTTTTGTAAAGATTTTAAAAGTGTGGCATTTTTGTAAAATGACATTTGAAAAATAACATTTTTTGAAATTCCTCAATTATTATTTACAAAGATCGGGATTTTCTTAAACAATTGGGTCAAGTGTATTAATTAAGAGAGCACATACATTAAAATATAAGTGAAGTTGATGTCTTTTTTAAAATGGACCATTAATGAATCTAGTGGGTCATGACTCATGATTAATTTTGTCCATTATTAAGCTTCTATATGCTCTATATGGAATAAACCCTACTGTGATTTGAAAGATAGGTCCACTTAGAGGGATATACCTTTCCATTATTAGATTAACTCTAATTAGTTTATTATTTACCCATTACATGTAAGTTAATTCAATCTACTGTGGGAACTAAACTTAATTTTTATTGGTTATTTATCTTTCAGAGAATCATGGAAGGACCACAACACACACCCATAACTCTGTTGCAAATCAACATAATTTATTTATATGCTAAAGATATATTATATATAAAAATATTTAACATATGTATTTAAATTATAGCGTAGTGAAAGTGAGTCTCAAAGTCATGTTTCCATGGAGGTTTAACACTATAATTAAAGCAGACGAAATAAAGATGTGTTACAAATGTTTGGTTAAAATTAATTTTCCAAAATGGGCTTAAAATGTACTTGAGTTAAGGCCCAATAAACGTTACAAATCAAATTTGGTTGAGTTTCGGTTTAAAACATTGGTTTGGTTTACTGCAGTTTATACGTCCATTTCAATTTCCTTTATATGCGGTTTAAAAGTGGAAAGTTCCCAAAATTTAGGGCTTTCCGATAATTCTGGCTAATTAGAAGGCATCACCAGTAGTCTAAAACAGGGGTTGATATTTAAACTCACAAATCTCCCCACATTTGAATAATTCTACGAATATGGAGACAAGGTTTCCAAATGTTACAAAAACCACCCTTTCTCTTTATCTCCGACGACAATGATCATCGTAATCTCCGGTACACGAGCTTGAAAGATGTGATCTCGAGTTCTGATGGATTTGGTTCGTTGTTTTGCCATCACCAACATTGTGTTCCTTCGCAAGAAGGGTTTCTATTGTCGGAAATGGATTCTTCGAATATCGCCATTAGAAACGAGCTTGTGAAAAGAGCAGCTTCGATGTATCTTCAGTCTTCTATGATTGTCACTGCTCCTGATACGAATTGGTTTCAGAGATTCTGTTTGAAGGCTAAGCATCAGGCGGTTGCTGCGGTTGATTGTCTCAGACCGGTTTACCGGATTTTCGCTCGGTCTAGTTAAGAAATGGTGATTCCAATTTGCAAATATGTAAAATACTGTATGTAAATTAGACGATCAAATAAAGTTTTCAATTGTTCAACAAGTTTAAACTTCACTACATCAGAACCGATCTATGAACATCATACCGTCGTAGAATTAAGCATCATACAAGCTTTTTTTCTTTTAGCGTTTATTCTTAGCTCGTTTCGAAGAAGACCGCAACGTCTCTTTTTTCAGATCTTTCGTAGCTTTTGTGTCCAGAAATGGCTGCAACAAAAAAAAAGGAAGCAAAATCAAACATGTTAGAACACGTCAACCCCATTTCTCAGAAATAAGAACAAACGAAAAAACCCGTGGTTTCATTATCCTTGACAATGAATAAAATGGGAGATCGATTGTTCTGAGTTTCATCGGTTTGGTTCCAAGATTAACAATTCGAATCACAATTCTTTAAAATGCCAACAAACGAAAGAAAAACCGTGCTTTAGTTTTTCATTACGCCTAACATTTTGGACTTATAGATAATGTGATAAAAATCGAGAAAAGGAGCTCGACTTCTAACCTCGTCCTTTCTCTTTTGAAGCTCTAGAAGTTCTCGACAATAAGCAAGACATTCGGTGTGGTAAGCTGCAGCTAAATCCTTAATCAAAGCTTTCCTTTTGATGATCCCAATCACTTTCCCAAAACAATGTATCCGAAAACATTCGATTAGTAAAAACAGCGAAAAAGCCGATATTATACATCACAATGCAGATACTGAAACGAAGGAAAAGCACACATAATAAAACTGGTGAATAATGAACAGAAGAACAACAACATAAGCATGATGATCTTAAAAGCTTTTAGGGATCTAACTTAGAAACACTAGTGACTCTTCCTGCAGAAACATTGAGAATCATGAACCTCGGGTTTGGTTTTTTTGTGAAATTAAGAAGCAGAGTGAAAATTGCAGCTCTAATCTCGCACTAAGCAAGGAAAATTAG